GGATGTTCCTTGGCAGAGATACTAGAGTGGTTTGCCATTTCCTTCTCCAGCTCATTTTACATTTGGGGAAACTGAGGCCAACAGGGTAAAGTGAGTTAGCCAGTGTCTGAGGCCAGATTTGAACTCACAAAGATGAGTCTTCCTGGCTGTAGGCCTGGCACTCTATCTGTTGTACCACCCAGCTGCCTCTATAAGTTGGCTGAAAATTCAGTACATATCTATGTTTTCTTGACTCCTTTTGAAAAATGTGACAGATCTGTCTTTTAAATAATATATTAAAATTATTTCTAATATAACTTTCTATAACAAATCAATCTTTTGTTTAAATGAAAAAAGAATTCATTTCTATGTTTATTTGTAGCCCTTAGGTAGAAATAGGAAAGATGGAACTCTATGTTATAGAGTAATTATTTATCTCATAGATCCTAGTCATTTAAAATAGAATACATATTTTCTATGTGCTCCTTAAATTCACTGGAGAGCCGGTGCTATCCTAAATGATAACTGAGCCACTTTCTCCCCTTATTTTGCTACCTCACACTGACCATGATGCCTTTGACACTGTAGACTTGTCTATCCTGTGCAACTCTCATTGGAGCATTAAAATTTTAAATCAGAACCAAGTACATTTTCCTTCATTTATATTAACATTTCACATGCCATGGTTTTGGGAACTGTTATCCAGATAGGTTATTTTGTTCTCTAGTTCTAATTGCATGTGTAGATACCACCTTAATGTCTAACTAGAGTTTAGCAGGAATATGCACATTAGAATTTACCTAGACCAGGGGTGGGGAACCTGTGGCCTTGAGGCCGCAGGTGGCTTTCTAGATTTGTTTTGTAAAATTTGGATTCAGTCAAAAGGCCGTATTTAAGGATCTAGAAGGCCACATGTAGCCTCGAGGCTGCAGGTTCCTCATCCCCGATCTAGACATACCCCCCTCTACTACCACCCACCCACTCCTTTCTCAGTCTTATCAAAGCATCTTCTATCTTCCACACAAGTCTGTAATACACTTTTTCCTTTGGGCAGCTTTGTAAGATTACCAGCAGTTTTGTTGAAAGCAGATGGTCTCCCATATTACAGTACTGAAAGTATGAGCAGTATTCTGAGATCCATCAGCATTGACCAGAAAGGCTTCTTTTTAGAAGAGTCAGTTTTTTATTTATCTTTTTATTTACTTTTAGTACTGCTTAGGTAGAGAGCATGAGTCTTATCCTTCTAATACCTTCAGAGCCTATTTCTCTCCCAAGTTATCACAAATGTAGTTATGAAGTTAACTCTCACCCTCCATCCTTTAGAGAAAAAAATTATGTTTAATCTCAAATTACCTTTCCTTTGCTGCCCACCCCACTTCCTTGACTCCCCCACATGAAATACAAACTCATTTTAATGTTAGCCTGAAAATAAATTTCTTGGAAAAAGATCTCCAGTGATTTGTCTATGCCCCTGTTCTTATCAATACTTGGCTTCAAGAATCAAAATAATTTGCGAATAGCATGCTTATCAGATTTATGTGAAACTGGGAGGAATAGTGAATACATTGGAGAGAGTGTTCAGATCCTAAAGCAGGGGTTGGGAACCTGCAGCCTCAAGTCCACATGTGGCCCTCTAGGTCCTCAAAAGCAACCCTTTGAGTGAATCCATACTTCACAGAACAAATCCCCTTAATAAAAAGATTTGTTCTGTAAAACTTGGACTCAGTCCAAAGGCCATACCTGAGGACCTAGAGGGCCACATGTGGCCTTGAGGCTGCAGGTTCCCCACCTCTGTCCTAAAGGATTTCAGGACAAGGAGTTGACACTAGTAAGATGAAATTTAATAGAGATTGTTGTAAAGTCCTGCACTTAGGTTCAGAAAATCAACCTTAAAAGGATAGGAGGGGAGAGATATAACTAGAAAGCTTGTCATATGAAAAAGGCCTGTGGCTTTTAGTGGACTCCAAATTTAAAAGGAGGCATCACTGTGACATTTCAACCCAAATAGCTAACAATATCTCAGGCTGCATTAATAAAAGCATAGTGTCCAGGATGACAAAGGAGATCATTCCACTGTACTTTGCCCTGGTCACATGATCTGGAATATCATGTCCAACTCTATAAACCACATTCTAAGAAAGTATTACCAACCTGTTAAGTACTTCCAGAAGAGTTTGTCTGAGATGGTAATAAGACTTGAAGATATCCTCTGCAATTTTCACTTGAATGAACTGGGACAATTTAAACTGGAGAAAAGATGTTGTGATGACATGATCATTGCCTTGAAGCATTTGAAGGACCATTGCATGGAAGAGGGATTAAACGCTCTCTTAAGCTGGAGGGTACAGAAGTGGGAACAGGAAGTGGAAATTGCAAAGAGGAAAACCTTCCCCAACAATTAGAGCTGGCCCAAAATGGAATGGATTGCTTTGGAAGATAGTAAATCCCCACTGCAGTTCTTCATTGTTGGACATATTGTAGGTGAGATTCATGCTTTTTAGGTAGAAACTGGATTAGATGACCTCTGAGATGCCTTCCATCTCCAAGGAACTAGGATTTTCCTTGTGTTCTGTATTAGGTTCTGGAGTTGTTGAGTGTGAAGTGCAAATGAGACATCTGAGTATAGCTATCCATCAGGTGATTGAAAAATGCGGAAATGGGGCTCAGAAGAGGAGCCTGAGTTGGAATACAGTCATCTGCGTAGAAGTTCTCTTTGAAACCACTGGTGTACATATGACTGTATGGCCCCCCCCCCAACACATTTGTGTCAATAATCTAGAAATAAGAAAATCATGTTCTAAATAAGGCTGAGAATTTGTCTTCCTTCTTAAATCAATAGTGTTCCCTGCCTAGGCAAGGCAGCCAGATTGGAATGGGCTGCAATGCCAGGTTTGACTGTCTTCGTACTTAAAAATAAAAATAACAGTGTCTTTCAGCGTATGCAGCATACCATTTAATTATCATTTTTAATTCCTTTACTTAAACATCACTTTCAGTCACATTTAACAATAATGAAATACAGCATAGAAGTAATTTACAAATTTCATTATATCTTATTTTACTCTCATTATCTGTCTCTTGATGGTATATAATTGGGTGATTTGGGATAAAAGCACCCCAAATATTGATGGGTGTCAGAGATGTGTTAAAATTAAATAGATATTTCTTCCTTGGATAATTACTTATTTTTCTTTGTATTTATTCATATTGCAAACGCCCTTCATAATATTCCATCTTCAGGGTTTTTTTTTTCTTGGAGCAAATTATGGTTCAGTGAGTATGATTTACTTGAAAGCTATTTATGAACCATACTTCATATTGTGGAGAAATATTATGCTGAAAATTCTTCTTTCTGGGCACACTGCCCTTTTTTTCTAAGATGTTTCCCCTTAATTAATCGTCATCTTCACTTATTTTTTTACTTGCGACTCTGAGATAATTTCTTTGGAAAAATAGCATATTTTCCTCCACACACATGCAGGGCTGAATAAAAAATTTCAGCAAGAGAAAAGAAACACATTTTTTTTTAAAATGTAGAAACACAGAATTCTATGAAATTGTTAAGAAACAATGAATATTGTTTGTAAGATTTTTCTGTTCCTTGAAGTAACCTACTGATGGTTGCTATGGAAAGGTTGTTGACAATTATACACCTAATCTAGAGATCCATAAATTAAGCTATTGCTGGCATTTTCTTAGTTACATAGTCTAAGAAAAAAAAAAATCTATGAAAATACATTTACTATTCACTGGCTGCATGTGACCTCAGATTGAAATCCAGCCCAAACCAAATGCCAAAGTAGCTTGTTTAAAGGGTGACAAAAGGAACACTGCTAAACTATTCTGAGGTTGGCTTCATGTTTTTTTTCTTTGAGATTATACAGTGGTAAAGGCAAATGTCCAACTTACCTATTATGGTCAAGGGGAACATACGTATGGGGGCTACTTAATTTAAAGCGAGCTCTCTCTTGCTTCTCTGTTCTTTTATACACCTCTGGGGAGGGGCTGTACAATAGGAAACATTTAGGGAATTCTTGGAAGCAATCTGAGAAGAACTGATGAATGAGTAGTATCATCTACAAAGATGCAGAAATCAAGCCGCATGCAAGTCAAGATGTCAAGCATGCCAAGAGATAAAACTTCTTATGTGCCAACCCTTGCTAATTTTTCTCTATTGTAGAAAATGCTAAGGAAACATTTTTCTCCTTAAATTTAATATAAATCAGGAGAAAAAGCACAAATCAAATGATATTAAGCAAAGAATCAGAGATATACTGATTTCCAACTCTAGGTCTCAATCTATAGCCCTGTGTAGTATAAAGTCAAGTCTGTGCTATTTGGGGTATGACCAGTGATGGGGGAGGGGAGTGCAATAGACAGCTAAAAGAAAAATGTGAATACCGATTGAGTTGTACTTTGCCATTTGGCTTACTACTAAAGCTCCCAGTCTTTTGGCCCCAATTTTCTAACTGAAACTACTTTAAAAAGAAAACTCCAACTCCAGCTTTTTCGTGATCCAGTCCTGGGGCTTTAGATCTGCAGATAAAGAGAGCTTCTCCCTTTATTCAATTTCTTATTTTGAAATTGGAGATAAGAAATCTTGTTGATGGTCTAGTTAATATATGTATGAGGTTTTTCAGTTGGGAAAATAAGCAGTACTCATTCTGGTTGCTCCAGAAGGCCTGAATTGCATTGAAATGTTCCAAGAATTGTTTGAATCGCTTTCTTTCTTTTCCATGAATGTACAACCTTCTAGTTTTGCCATCCCAGTGCCCTGGAAACAGGTATAGATTTATGTAGGTTAATTTGGCATAGTACAGCAAATTGCTACTGTGACATATTTTAGAATTCCTTCCAGCACAGGCTAATGGCTAGAATCAAATAAAACATAAAAGTAGGTTTATATAGATTGCTTTATAAATCAGATAAAGCTTTATGTTACCTTCCATTGGAAGTGGACGCTTTTCAGTGAACAACCTAGGAGCTCTTCATGTAACACTTTCATGATTACAACTGAGAGGAAAGCAAAATAGAAACGAGTCCATTGAGTTTCGCCACCATTAACTACCATTAACTGTAATTTTTTTTCCTGACAAGCTCTGTCATCTGCTGACAGGTAAAACACTGGAAAAAGTGAACTGAACAATTGCAGAAACTCTAATGAAATATGCCCCTGTATTCGAAGTCTGCACAGTTCAGGCAGTTAAAATGGAGTTATTTTGGGTGTTAGCGGTAAGATCTCAGCTTTGTTTTAAAGATTTTTGTTTGCACCTTCTTGGATGGTGTTAAGTCTCTTGGAAGAGATAAATAGATGCACTTCACTACACATGAGTGAGCCTCAAATTGAATAATTTGAACTAACTTTATTTGACAGGACTGAAGAAATACTATGAAAATGATGCATTTTGTAGCAAAGGTGGAGAGAGTTCTGTAAGGAAGGGCGAATACACTTATTTCCTTAGAAATGAACGAGGGCTTCCAAGAGAAGTGAAGACAGAGAAATAACTGAAGCCTCCTAGGGCATGGAGAAAAGCTTTTTAATCCAAAAACATGGTATTTTCCTTAGGAGGAAAAACACCCAGACTATGTGTGAGATAACACATCTATTCCAAGGGCTCTGAAAAGAATGAAAGTCCTCTTGTGGCGCATGGGTTTTGGGCTGTCCCAAACAGCGATTGAAAGGGCCTGTTATAATAGGAGAAAGAAACACCAGGGGGCACTTTCATTTGCATTAGCAAACACTAATGATTTAGGTGCCTTTACCAAAGGACGCAGGGAGTGAGGAGAATACATCCCATCCAAAGGAAGCATTTTCCCCTTCTGTACCCCTGTCATGGGTTTAAAAAATAAAGCAAAGCAAAGCAAAACAAAACCTTTTTCTTTGCGTACCAATATATCACTTTTCTCCCTCAAATTTACGTGTCAGAATGTTGAGGCAAGCAAGAAAAGTGAGTGCCTGGGTGGTTTTATCTTTGCACTGGAACAAGTAGTCCAATCTTAACGAAGATGTAGGATTTTCAAGTGTCCAAAACAGATAAAGATGAATGCTCAGCTGAACTAGTGCCCAAAGAGTCTCTCTTATCCTGACTTGTAACAGTGGGGTATGGATCTTACCCCAGGCTCCCATTCAGTCCATCAGTAGCCATTCCCAGGATGTACCACTATGGCGAGTATTTAGGTCTTCAGTTTAAAAAAAAAAAAAAGGAGCTGGTGGTTTGAGTCCAGTGCCTATGGAGAGATATTCAACAGACAATGAGTACAATTCTAATTGCCACTAATTAGCACCCTTGTTGGTAAGGATTGAAAAGGCCATTTATATAGCTTGACCCCTGCTGATTCACAGAGCTGGTCCTTCCAGGACAAGGCAACAGCAGCTCTAGTAGCGTATGTAAACCTTGCTCTTTTTGCCTTCCAGCTAGCTTGATTTGAGCTATGAAGAGAAGCTTTAGTTTTTCTCAGTCATCAATTCAGGCAGATGCAAATTTTAGGATACAGAATTACTATTATCTTCAATTATGAAAAGTGTTGCTAAGCAGCAAAGAATCGATAGTGTACACTGATAGAAATTTTGAGCACTGCTGGTTAGTTGCTACTTTGGGGAGAAATCACAACTTTTTTATTATTTTAATCTTAGCCCACTATAGTTGTTAGAGGCCTTAGTAGCCAACGGATGTGAGGCTCAAGTTCTTATCAAAAGCGTGGTAACTCTTTCCCATGTTTGTACATTATATGAAGACTGTTCATGCTCGTCTTCATCTTTGAAATGGGTGGATGTAGCAGGGAGCATGCTATGTTCCTTATAGGATGGCTGATATCTGCCAAAGACCTGAATTCCTTGGAAGGGGATAAGATGCTCCATGATTTTAGAGGAAAGCTTGACTGTTAATGACTGTGACAAAGAAGTAACCTTTACCTAGGTTGTGATAAATATTAAACAAAGCCTCGTCCGATTTTGTTGGGGTTCCTAGAAATCCTCCTTACCTCATAATTGTATAGCTGGTAACTGTGCACACTTAGTCGCGTTGACATTTAATCTAGTGCTAATTAATAACTCTAGAAGCACATGAAAAAAATTTAATAACCATAGAAGTTTCTCTCATACTATATATATCAAGATGATGTATATTTCTGAACTTCTTTAAGGGGTTTCAATCTTACTTTCTTTCCCATTCAGAACACTGTGATGGATTATCCCATAAGAGTTCCCAGCACAGTAGTATGCAACTTCTCACAGAAACATCTGTAAAATGAAGAGCTAACGATGAAGAGTCAGGGTTAGGGAGCTGAAATCTCAAACCGTTAGCCCCTGCTTTATGTAGTCACTAGCTGCTAGAATCAAGAAGCTCGCTCTCTATATCCAGTCCTAACCTCTCTCCTGAGCTCTAGTCTTGCATCACCAATTGCTTTGTAGACATCTTGAACTAGCTATCCCATAGGCCCCTCAAGTTCAGTATGTACCAAATGAAATTCATTATCCTTCACCCTCAATTTTCCCTCTTCCTAGCTTCCTCATTACTATCAAGGGAACCACCATGTTCTCAGTAAGCCAGGCTCCCAATGTCAGTGTCATCCTCGACTCCTCTCTCACACTCAGGTCACATATCCACTCTGTTGCCAGCTCTTGTCACTTTGACCTTCACAACATGCCACCCTCCTGATACAGGTTCTGCTCCTTTAATGTCAAACTGTTGGAAGAGGGTTTTGGTTGGTTCCTTGGCCTCAGGTTTCTCCCCTCACCAGGGCATCCTTATCACTCAGCTATCAGAGTGATCTTCCTAAAGCATAGATCTGACCCTATCACACCATACCACCCCCACCTCAGACATTTCCAGAGGCTCCCTATTATCTCCAGGATTAAATATAAAATCCTGGCTTCCATTTAATACTCAGCAGGAGGCCTTTTCTAATCTAACCTCCAACCCTTCCCCCTCCACTGCTGTAAGATTACTTTCCATCTACTCTGTATATATCTTGTATTCCCCCATTAGAATGTGAGCTCCTTGAGGGTAGCTGCAGTGTTTTTTGCCTTTCTTTGTATCCCCATTGCTTAGCATCTAGTGCCTAGATAGAGTAAGTGCTTAATACGTTTGCTGACTGAGTGAATAAGTAACCAAGGGCTTCCAGCCTTCTCATTTCTAAATGAAACTGACATCTGACTGCTAAAATGTATGTCTTCCAGTCCAAAATATCCACAGTAAGCTTTTTTTTCTATTAAAAACACTATATGTCTGTAATATACAAACCACTCCCTAAAAATCAATTAAGCAAAGTGATAGGGGTATCAGCTAAATGAGATTAATCAGTAGAAGTTGCAAGGTTTTTTTACCAAAAATAGGGAAAATACATATCAAGGTTCTTATTTCATCACATACAACATAGAGAGGGGAGAGATTGGTACCATGTATCTTTACAGGGAAAGAGTTACACGATATATAAGTGGAAAGAATCCAATATACACATCACAGCAGTCATTTAAAGATGTCCTGGTGCCTGTTACAATCTCATACTTAGTGTCCTGTGATCCTGTTGAAGAAGAGGCACAGTGTCCAGCTACAACCTACTGTGATGGTTCTTGACTACCTGGGCTTCTGTATCAGCATGATGACCCCACATTTTTACCAACATGGTCAAGGAACAGAACAGCTCCTAGATCTCCTCCTGTTGGTTAGAGACGACCCCTGGCGCGTTCGCTTTTTGTTTTATGGCCTCTAGGGTGTGATTGTCAAGTGTAGGTGTCTTGTGGTAACCTCATGTTTTAATGGTTCTAGAGAGGGAATATATAGGAATATTTTATATACATACACACACATAATATAATATATAGGAATATAACAGGAAATCCATCCTTTGTTTTCTATGCTTTCTGAATGTAGTGGGTGAGTATACATTTTAACAGGAAAGAATATCGAATTTTGAATGACTGTGATAGAATAGTTATCATAATTGTTTTGATTATTCACTAGTCCCTATGGACCTGTGGTGAGGTATCCCTGTAGTTAAATGATTTTGTAATTCAAAAATAACCAGATGCCAGCTTCCAATTACATAGCATTTAGGGTTATAAATCCTAAAAAGGACATGTAGATATATAGATATACAGAGGGATACTATATATGATACATATGTAAGGAAATTATATATTTATATAGACATATAGTCACCATTCTGACTGCTTACTGGCTAGCACAGAATCTATCAAATGCTTTTCCTTAGACTGATATAGAAAATGGCACCCATATAAAAGCTGCTGTCTTGGTACCTAGGCTGCTTGGCCTCAGGCATCATACAATTTCTAACTACGGCCATGGGAAAAAGAGGCATGAATGACACAGGAGTATTTCAACCACACAGTGCAGCTAGAATCTGCCCGGTCACTGATTCACAAGCCCCTTTCACATCAGCAAGGATTATATATACAAACCTGAGGGCAAAGTATAACCCTCAGTGTAACTTCCATTTCATATTTACAAAAATAAAAATGAAACAAACAAGGTTGATGAGACCAAAGGAAATGTAATTCTTCATATCAGACACATCCCATCCTAATCGGACAAGGGGGAAGGGGAGATGGTTTACCAGTCAGTTGCTATTACTGGGGGTAGGGATGGGAATGGGGAAGGAGGGTAACTGTGGAATTCAACCTACCTAAAGACACCCAATTGTTCTAATTCTGATTTTCTACCTTAGAAAGTTAGTTTCCTAGCTATGTGTCCCTGGGCAAGTCACTTAACCCCAATTGCCTAAAAAAAAAAAAAAAAAAGAAAGTTAGTTTCCCAAAAGGACTCTTATTTGGAAGTCTTGTGGCAGCTACCTATTGGCAAATACATTACCATTTCTTTCCTAGAATGTTCATATTCTAATTGGTTGGGTTGTAAGAGAAATTCAGGAAAAATGAGTAGCTAGTTTAGATGCAAATGCAATTTTCCTTTAAACTCTGCATTTCTGTGGAATTACTCCTTGGGAAATTTTTTGAATTAGCCTTTCTAAAATTGTCACATTCCAAACCCTATGCTTTGCCCAATTTGTTTTCACTCATATGGTATCACTGCAGATGTTTGAAGAAACAGGTATCTTGGGGTCCAGACATGTGATTTCAACAGTGCATGTATTGAAAGTTGTGTTGCCTCAGTGACCCATTGTTCCCAGCCCTGTTTGTCAGTGAGTGTTGAGGAGGGTGACACTGAGTCTGCAGCTTTTTGCATTACCTGCTCTTTGGTCCTATCTATGATGTTTGTAGCCCTACTTGCAAACTGTCACATACTTGCTACCTTGAGAAGGAATTGAGATGTAAGGGCCCAACATCTTTTGCTGAAGTGGACCTGTCTGAATTGTCTTTATCTCATGATGGAAGTTACCAATAAAAGCTGGCCCCACCTGGAAGCCATCCATGATCTCCAGTGATTAACCCATAGACGTATTGCTACTTTGATATACTTATTACACACGTGTGTACTATAACTACATATCATTACGTGTATGATATATAATATGTATGTGTTACATACATATTACATATAGCATGTAATTATATTATCATACACAATGGTAATATAATATAATTACATGTATAATTGTATACTACTACTACTACTACCACCATTCATACATCACCTTAAGGTTTGCAAAGTGCTTTATATTTGTGAAGTCATTTGATTAGTATATGTATGTTATGTATACACAAAATGTGAATGTGGGTCTAGACCTATATATAATATAATCTATACAGGAAACTCCCAGTATGGAAATTCATCTCTAGCTTACAGTCTTAAAGAATTTCCCAGGAGCGTGCCATGATCAAGAAGCCTTACACAAAGTACCTACTGTAGCTAACAATATATAAGAATTAGCAAATATGCTGAGGCACCTAGGTGGAACAGTAGGTAGAGCTCTGGGCCTGAAGTCAGGAAGACTCATCTTTGTGAGTTCAAATCTAGGCTCAGACACTTACTAGCTTTCTGACTCTAGGCAAGTCAATTAACCCTGTTTGCCTCAGTTTCCTCACCTGTAAAATGAGCTGGAGAAGGAGATGGCAAAGCACTCCAGTATCTTTGCCAAGAAAACTCCAAATAGGGTCACAAAGAGTCAGACACGACTGAAAAATGACTAAACAACAAAAGTAAATGTGCTGGGGAGGGGGCAAATGAGCATTTGAATGCATATTAAATATGGTTTCAAGCCATATGGACAGCTTTAAGCGAAGAGGATGGAGAAGATAGAGTATCTCACATCACTGGAAGATGAGTGCCCCATTACCTGCGTATTAGTTGGGGAAACATGAAGGTATTATACTTAACTGGTATAAACCATGGGGTGGCAATGCTATGCAGTATACAGCCAAGAAACCCATGGGACCAGAGCCCTCCGGGATGTCAGTGCAGAATGGGCCTCCTTCCCCATATCCCGGCATGAACACAACATTAGTTTGGTGGACAGCTGTCTCCAAAATAAGACATATCCAGTGATTATAAAGGGCAATAACTGTTTAAACAATGTCTGCCTTTGGCACATTCCTTATCTAGTTTACACGGCATTATCCCCCCCACACACACACCCCAGTGGAATACATACTCCTTGGGCAGGGACTCTTGGCTTGTTTTGTTTGCAGTCAGCATAATAGACTGCACAGGGCAGATTCTTAATGATTCTTGGTATGCAAAAGAGACAGTGTGGAAGAGGAAGAGAGATGCCTGGGATACTGAGGAGTCAAGTAACAGCCCTGGTCTTGCAACTTGAAGGATTTGAACCCCAGTGTTTTTGACCTGAGGCTAGCCCTCTAAAACACTACATTGTGCTGCTTTTCCCTATGATATTAGATTGGCAAATAGATACAGCATGTATTAAGTGTTTATTATGTGCCAATCTTAGTCAGAGGAAGATAGAAACAGTGAGGTGCAGTTCTATTCCATGGCTAGACAGTGGTCATTGGAGGGTATTTAATTATCTAACAGAGAAAACAACCTTACCTGGATCTCACTTTGTGGATACCTTCTCACATCAACTTCTACTTAGAGAAGGATGGAATCACTGGCCATCTGGAAACATTAAGAAAAGCATAGTCAGACACTCCTTGAAGGAACTGTGTTTTAGCCACAAAATATGAAAATAGCCACAAGAATACAAATATTTCCTCCTGCTTCTGAGTCCATTACTTTTAAGTACCAGTGTTCTTTCGATTTTCCCAGCCTTCCTTGTGACCATCTTGTTTTCCTGGAGTATTTCATTCTCTGGCTTTGTGGTAGAAGTTTAGACCAAAAGAACTCACTGGAGACTGAGAGGCAGAGCAGGCTGTTGTCCCACATTCCCTTTCTACTAAATCAAGGTTTTCTTTAGCTGGAAGGTGGCTATTGTGAAGCTGTCAAACCGAGGCAAGTTAAATGGGCAGAAGTGAAGGCTCCTATTAACAATCACAGCTATCTCTGTCAAATGAAGGCTCAGCAGAGAGTTACAAGGCAATCTGGTCCGGATAGGTGGTCGATTAAAAAGAACCAAAGGCAAGGAGGGGAAGTCCCCATTACTGGGTGGTTAGAATACCAAGGTGAAAACTCCAACCTCTAACCACCTAGGACACGCAGCCTTCATAATCTCCTGGAGAACCACCACAGTCACAGTCGGGGGTGAGGAGTGGGGGAGGGGAGGAGGGCAGGAGGGAGAGGCCTTGTTGCCTGGAAGCCCTATCAATATGCATCCATGGAGCAAACTGAAAAGGGGAAATAGTGCTGATGCTCTTGGGGAAGCAGATTTGTGTTAAGTTCAAGGAAGTTCTGAGTACAGGCGACTTTTGGCAGCAGAAGTGGGGGGGGAGGTAGTTGTTCTGCATTAAAAGGAGGAATGTGACCATTTTTACAGAGTCATATTTCAGATTTTGAAGGTTAGACTCTAAACAACCAAAAGAGGATTAAAGCGAAATTATCTCTCAGTTCAAGGGAACCTCAATTTAAATTGGATTGGAGGTACAGCATTTGCATTACCGTAGGAAATGAAAAGGAGGATTCTGTCCTGATAGGAGTCCAAATACCTAATCACATATGTCAGAGTGGGAAAAGTAGATTAACCAGTAGATGAACAGCACCAATATGTGCTCGCTTGAGGAAAATTCAGCCTGTATTCCAATATCTTCTGTATATTAGACCTGAAGACTATTTTTTCCCTCTAAATGTAAATAGTTCTCACTAAATAGATGAAGTCACATTTCACCTCATCTTCTGAATTACCCTATAAAATTCATCAGTAGAACATTTTCTCTATCCCCTGAATCCTCCTTCCACCACTCACACGCGCACACACACAGGGCTTTCAGCACTTTTCCTATGCTTTGAGTGGAAAGAAAAGCCCATCCTTCTTTTGAGAGGTAACCTTTGCCTTTAGGAAAGCTTGTCGTATTTGGGGTTCAGGACTTAAGCCACCAGGTAGGATTAGAGAGGGATTCTTGACAGGCCTCTCCTCTCCCACTCAGACCAATGGCCAAACAGTCATCCACTTCCTTAATTAGTTTAAATAATCCATTTTAGTGAGGGGCTTTGTTCTTATTTCACAGTTGTTTCCAAAATAATCTCATAGTACCCAGTGAACCCTCATTTATTTTCTAAGTAAAAAGTTAAGCAGAGCTGACACTGTGATCACAGCTAACAACATATGCAATGTTCTGCACCTGTTGTCCCCCACCTCTGGTACAAAATGGGGATAATAATGCTTGAACTACTTGCCTTACTAGGTTGTTAAGAATGTGTCTTGTTAGCCTCAAAACACTATAGAAATGGGAAAGAAGGAATAAGAGAAGACCAAGAAATGACAAAATAAAGAAGGTAGAAAATAGCCACCCAAAAGGAGGCTTTCCTTTGTTTAACTCAGCATTGGTGTGAATAGGTCCTGATTCTCTCCCATGTGGCTCCTGCTGCACTCTTAGCATCATGCTGTGCTATCCCTGAAATGCTTGCTCTCATAGGATGTAAGAATGGGTTTACGCTAAAACATGGTGGAAAGAGTTCGAGAGTCAGAAGAACTGGATCCGTATAGTGCCTCGGAAATCTACTCCCTGTTGGACTTTGGGCATACCATTTAACCTCTCTTGGCCGCAGTTTCCCCACCATTACAATGAGGGGGCTTGACTACATGGCCTCTTAGGCTGCTTCTAGCCGCTACTCTATGATTCTCTCAAGAGCTTGTTGAGAATGATCATTTTGCTGGATTTCTCCAATAGCGAGATCTTTGTAATTATGCACATGGATTTTGCTAGCATTTCAGAATCGGAAAACCCATTCTTTCTTATCCATGGCTAAATATCATTTGTAGCCACTGTACGGGCTGTCTGGAAATGTGAGGGTTAAGGATCCATTATGTGCATGTATGCACACCCCTCTCATCAGTATTGATTTCTGATATTTATAAATAAGCAAATTAGCTGTCCACATGTGTGCCCACAAGCATCAGGAAGCTCACTGTAAGGGAAGTTAAGTTTTTGGGAAGGAAGATAAGATGACTCACTAGGCTGGGTTTCAATATTAGCGTGCCTGTACCATGTACTATAATTTATTGTGCAAACAGTAAATATATTAGCAAACGTGTTGAACATTCACAGAAGGTGCTGTTAAATTATTTCAATCCCATTACTCCAAATACTAAGGAAAAAATGTCTGTATTAACTGCCAGTGAAAGATGGGGTCTGTAGCCAAGTGCATCGATATAAATGTTCTATTCTCCAGGGAAATACCCGCCTTATACTGTTACTTAGGAAAAATATGTGCACAGACATCCAGGAGCCTGTTGGAAAACAATTCTCATTTTGTTAAAACAATAGGATCACATTCTCAATCAGGTTCACAGATATTTTTTGCATTTGTAAAGCCTGCCAGCTAAAGTGAATATCAATAAGACCCTGATGTATTTTTAAAGGATTAATAATTTATGAAATAGGGAAATAGAAACTGATGTTTCTCCATTTCATCTTGGTCTTTACCTATATGAAATGAATGTACTTGGAAACCTTGGCAGCAACTCACAATTATTTAACTTGGAGTAATTATCAGAACAAATGGTGTCACTGAATTCTTTCAACATGTTTGTTTTCCATCCTGCTTGCCCAGTGAATCATCAAGAATATAAACTGCTTTAAAGATGAAACACTTAGGCCTTTGAGAACTGAATTCTAGTTTCTGAAACCTTTCCCAATGGATCTGCCAATGGTTGTTGCCTCCTCGGGGTGGGGTATGCTTGACAAAGTTAGAGCTAAGTTTTGTTATTTTACCTTGAGCTCTTGCATGCATTGCTCAAGGCTCTCTTCTAACAAAGTCTATGATTAGCTCAGTTCAAATATTGTGGCTATTGAAGGGCAGGGCAACAGACAGGTCAAATGGATTTGAACCAAGGAAAATTGCTGGTCTGTGGACATAGGCGATATCCTTTGACCCTTGACAGCCATCATTCAAATATTGGCCTTGATCACAAGGAAGACTTGTGAAGCTTAGTACTTGTGGATGGCTTAGCATTCTGCGTTAGGGCACATGCTATAACAGCCCACAATGGAATGGTTCCTAGTAAGATATCTTGCTCCCATCAGTAGGATTTAGGGAGACTGACATAACTGATGTGTTATATAGCCTCCTGAGAGCAAACCAGACATGAAAGTTCCTTCTCACTGGATTAACATGTGAAGTAGTATCTGAGCCCTTTGGGGAAAAAAGAGATCTTTTCATAAATCTTCAGGGCATTTGTTACCAGCATATAGTAACCTACAATGAATAATAATCATTAAGGTGGTAAAAGGAGCCATGGAAGCCTTGCTCCTGCCACAGAATTTCTTACCTTGTGGCCGAGGCACTTAACTCCTGACCTTGGACAGCAAACACAGCCTGTCTGTAAGAGAACCCAGGGCCACATCCACTCCACTCTGAGGCACTGGAGGGAGGAGATAGTATTTGTATAGCCTCTGGTTTCTCTCTCTCTCATATAGAGCTGGAAGAGACCTTAGATGAGAACATCTAGTCTACCCCCTTCATTTTACAGATGAGGAAGCAGAGGCCCAGGAACAAGTGACTTGTTCAAGGTCACAAGGGGGTAGGCAGAGGAGAGTTTATATTTGAACCCACGTCCTCTGGTTCCTAATCTAGTGCTCTTTGCATTGTACCCACTCTAACCCACCCTGCTTTTCTCTCCTATGTTAGTATATTCCTTCTTTCATTCTTCTTGTTATATTGTAAATCATATTTTTCATGAAAAAATAGAATGCATTTCAACAAAAGAATGAAGATTGAATTTCCTGATTAATACAGTGAATGCTTTAATATAAAAGATCCTTATTTTTGTTTGGAATTATTCTAGCATTTGCTTTTGTTTATCTGTATTTTTGTCCACTGTGTTACGAACAACTCAGGGGAAATCCAGTGTTCAATACTTTCCCACAGGAAAACCGTGATAAATGATCAAATTGTGCCGCAATGTGTGTAACCCATTCTGGAAATACACTGGAATCTCATTATTCAGCTCAGCATTAGCATGATAATGTGACTAACTGTACTTTGAGAAGGCTTCTGTAACACAGAGAAATGTACCCAGAAAATGAAAAACATATTTAGTAGAATGCCTAGCAAATCAAACTCTTGGAATAATGTGGAATTTCTGGAATTGATTCAGGAGCAGTTCAGAGGTGAAAAGATTGCCTCTTGGTAGAAGTAAGTATCCCTGTGCAGTTACATTTATGTTCATATGTCTATGCCGATAGATATAGATGAATGCTGCTGTATAGCTATATGGGAGACATATGCTGGGATGTCTTCCGAATGACACACCATAAATTGTGGTAGTTAAGTTAATAAGGGCTCTACTTCCGAGAGGCACTAAACTACTTTTCATTCCTTAAGAGGCAAGGATTTGACTTTTACCTGTTTGGTATTTAAAGTTTATTAATACAAGTCAAATTGGAAATGACACTAAGAATATTCTAACAATAAAAAAGCAAATGGTGCTGAGTATTAAAATCCCTTTTCCAAGGCATATCACTACAGAAAAACTGTGTTCTCTCTCTGTTCCTCACCCCACCCCCACTGTGTATGTACATGCATTCATAAATACACTCATACACACACACACCCTCACATGCTCACTGGCACACTCATACTGACATACACTACTGACACTCATACTCACTGGCGCACATACTCACTGACACTCACTGGCATGTGCGAGTACACATACACACAAACACACACACACACACACACACACACACCCCACTCAGGAAGATGTGACTAAGGCAGAAATGTATTCTTTTCAGAGCTTCCATCCATTGCACATACTTGTCATCAGTACCACTTGTACTCAGTGATCTTATTACCTGCATAGGTTCTCTTGCACAGCCACGCCAGACTAGATCTATTCTTGCCTTTTGCCCTTATTTCCTGAAGTGATTCAGGGAATTCAGGGAAGGGGCGCTGAAAGCTGGCGTGGACCATTGTTACAATCTCTTTGATGCTTCCGTCTGGGTAGAAAATTTCACAGGATGTTAGGGAAGAATGTTTTCCCCACTCCAACTTTCAGGAGGTCTTCTGAGACTTGATTTTCCTGAGCTCTCTCCTCCCTTCACCACCAAGATACCTTAGAAGTCTGAAATAACCCTTGCTCC